CATCGTTTTGTTCACAAGTATTTTCCTACCGACACCCTGAATTTAATAAGCATTAATATTAATGTTTTAATAATTTGTTTAGATTATTATTTATACAAAAAATAAAACGACGGAAGCCGAAATAGTTTTTATTACATTTCGACTGTGACTTGTGAAAAGAACAATTACAAAATTTTAACGACAGCTGCAATGTAGGTGCAATGGTGCATTTATCCAAATAAAGTTAAACTTAATGGTACTCAATTATGGTTTGCTTATTATAATTTTTTGCAACTTTTTTGGTTTTGTGGATTTTGAATTATTGTTCGCGTTAAACACCAATATCTCAAATAACAAAACCACTAAACTAATGCACATAAAAAATACATTTAAAATGAAAATTCCCCTCATATGTTCCATAGTGACGGGAGATAATACTTTTTTATTGTCTTCCTGAATTTTTCTTTGCAACCATTGGTTTTTTATTCGATTGCGTACTCCAGACTCCAACAGTTGGAGATATCTAGCAATAAAATATTATAAAATTACTATCAACAATAAATACAATTACTTACACTATATTTAGTGTATTATTGAGTCTGCGTTCTGCAAACTTATTTAGTATTATTGAATTGTCTGATTTGTATAACTTTTGTGGTAACTCCGTTATTTCGCAGGAAAAAAGATTGTGATCCAAAAGATATTCCATTATCACAACATTTTCTAAAAGAAACAAGTTATCCCTACACGGTTTAGTTGCAAGTGCATCATCTTGATTAACATTTCCACATTCTGGTACGTTTACGATATTTACCCATTTGTCTAAAAGGAGCTTTTTACCATCTTCCTAAAATTTTATTATTTATTATTTAAAATGTTACCTACATGAAATACACCGATAGGTACGTACATAACGTGAAAAAGTATTATACGCCAAACTTGCAGTTCGAATACACAAACCATATTTATGTTGATTTTCCAATTCGTGAATCGCTTTAATTGGAAAATATTCATAGGATGTTGTTATTTTCGCCACCAAATTGGCACTGATAGCAGTTGCGATAACGTACCCTAATAAAAGCGATGTCATTATTTGAACTCTATAAGAAGCATTTTGCACCCTAAATTCAAAACCTAAAACATAGGTCATATATCACATCATTTCCATTATCATTACCATTTTGCTAGCGGTGTTTATTTCAGATTGTAAATACCTTGATTCAAATATCCACTTATAGTTGCTATAAAACAACTTGCGAGGGATATATTTCGTTGCCTTTTTTCCAACTTAGCCAGGAGTTTCAGTGTTGCCCACAAAACGATGCATAAGATTATAACACATGCCCCAATGACTAACCAAGTTGTAGGGGTTAAAGTGATAAAGTAATACATTGAAGTCGGTTGCCATCCAAAACTTTTGAAATAGAGTTTGAACCTTAAATTATTCGTTTAAATTACTAACACATTTTTCAAACATATCAGTTTAATAGGATGTATACCAGCTTTTAATAAACGGTTGCATTAACTTGGTGTTATAGGATCCTTCTTTGACGACTCCAGCAGTTAACATTAAATCAGCGGAACCATTTTCAACTGCTTCCAAACAACTTTGGTAATCCATTTCATTTAAATCAACCCTTTCATAAAAGTTACTATAATTTCATATATCGGAAAATGTATTTTTAACTTACTTAAATCCTATCTTTTCTTGAAAAATGTCAAAAAGTTCTGCTACGTATCCATTTGTTTTATTATTAAACATTGAAAAGTATGGTGGGAACTGGTAAAGATGTGTTATTAGTTTACGATTGAATTTTTTAATTGAATAGTTTAGGTAGATACATACCAAATTATTTCCAACTACTTTTAAAGTGATGGATTTTGGATCTTCATGCGTGGAATCGATATTAAGAGATAGATCTAGGACCGATACAAAGTCTTGTATGGTGTCATTCCAGATATAATTCATTCTACACGAAGCAAAGGTTTTGGGATTTTTTGTGCAGTATTTTAAAGGTATTACGGCATCTCCAAAAACCTGCACCATGAAAACCCTTTACAAATCGTAATTATTTAATTTATATGTAGGTAGGTATATGATTTTATTGGATATTAATTAGAATTTTATCAATAACTTACAAAATATAAGATGAATGTAAGGAATAATGCGATGAAATGTTTTTTGGTCAACATTTTTGCAAATATGAAAGGTGTAATAGTCATTGCCGGCAATTTATATAAGATTTGTTAACATGACAACACGTTGTTTCCCACGGATGTCACGTCTTAACACCTTATATTTAACATTTCTCGTTGCAATTTTCGCATTAAATGATAAATGAAATAGGAAATTATAAATTGAGGGCGTTATTTTTCTTTTATTGAAATTTAAATTATTTGTTATTACTTCGCAATATGAAACTATTAAACGGTAATTGCTTTTTCACGAAGTGTACTACAAATTGGATAATAATGACAATAATTCGTTTTAGAAATTATTGTTTTTATACACATTCTCATCACCTCAAAATCTTTTTATAGTCCTAGTCAAAATTGATCATTAATTTATGAAGTACTAAATTTTTACAGAATATTGGAATTTGCATATTTTTACATAATGCTATTTCGAAATGAGTGCTTTACATAGTTTAAAATGAATATTATTATTCCATATTCACGAGATAACCATACGTTCAATAGCCTACGGGGGGGGGGGTGACACAGTAAAGCATCGCTTAAGGGCGCCAGAGATCCAGGTAATCTTTTTCATGAAATTAAATTAAATACTACATTTTAAGTTTAGAAAAAGCTAGGTGGAGTAAATAACGCTGATGAGGGAACGTATCCATACTACGTAACCCATCAGGGGGAGGGGGTCTTCAAAAATACCATGTGTGGTTACAAGGACGGGAGGTTTAGATTTTCGTGACGTAGTCAATATCACCTAGGGGAATCTCGCGCTTTTTCGAGCTATATTCAAGGCTTTCTGTTTACAAAAAATTATTTAAAACCATATTTATGAATTACTAGGTGAAAACTAGAGACTAAGTGACTTTATACAATATTTAATAAAGGTCTTAAACTTTGTTTATTGCTTTAATAAAACGAGTGTTTGAGAAAACAGTACTTTGTTAAGGGTCTATTTCTGCGGAATGGGAAAATTAAAAATCCATAAATTTTACAACATTTTTTGAAAGATTTACATAATATATTACAAAAACTATATAACAGATTAGACTTATATATATATATATAAATATGGTAATGAAGTCAGTCATTTTTTCTCGAGGAAGAGAAAACCTTTAAAATTTATTTGACTTCCAAACGGTATTTATTGTATTTTTTATAAATTCTCTTATCTTATTGAAATGATAAGTTATTTGTATGGTAGGTGTTTGTACTTAACACTAAGCATATCGTTCCGTTTTTTTTAACTCATTATTCACAATAATGAATAACTTGTAATTGTTTATGACTTAAGGGGTATGATAAAAGGGTTGATTAAAGCTATTACCAATTAAAGCATTGTACTTTGACGATTCCAATGATAAAACTTTCGAAACGATATTAAAATCTTCAGCATGCTTTGTTTCCGCTATACCAGATTGCCTCAACAGATGATTCAATTGATTATTTATAATGGGGCGGTAATTATTATCGATATTTCCTCTGAAATTACCATGACTAATTGCACCGTTGTTATTGAAGTTTTGCAAAGGAACTCTCACGTTATTTAAACCTTCGTTTCTTAATGGCCTGTTATTATTAAATAGGGAAAATTTGTTACCAAGTCCAACGTTAACGGGTGGTGTCAACTGTGTATTTAAAATTGGAGATAAATTTTGATCAGATGGAGAAGGCAATATTGGCCTTCTTAAAAAGTTAACGGGTTCTTTATCGGGGAGCTGTTGCTGACTGTAAATTGTGGGCCCGGTAAAGAAACTGCTTTCTTTGTACGAGGACGATATACTGGGGATCAGAGATACCCCACCACTGTTAAAAGAGGATAAAATTGGTTGAGATTGGGGAAGGTTGGAGAAGGATGAAAGTTGTGGAGGGTTATTTATTAAAGGCGGTGCTGTTGGAGAAAATGGGGGAATTGTTGGTAAAAAGAAATCGTTTGATGGAACTGATGAAATACTTTGCTGGATGGAAACTTCAGCTGGGTTATTTCCGAAAAAATTTTGTGTGTTTTTGAATTTGTTTGGGGAGATGGGGAAAGATGGGCTTTGAAGACCTAAAGAAGGCGGCGCAGGAGGTTGTTTATTTTCTAATTGTTTTAATGTCTCTTCGTTGGTAAGTTGCTGTTCACGAAGTAGTTGCTGTTGACGATATAAAAGATCCTGATTTGGAAAACCCAACAGTTGTTGTTTAAGAGCTTCTTGCTTGAGTTGAAGCGCTAACTGAAGACGTGTAATCTCCTGCTGTTGTTGGGCATATAAATTCTTCTTTAGTTGGTCGTTTTTAGATTGTTTATCGAGAGGACTTTCGGTGGAGGGTTTGTAAATGGCTTCCACTTTTTTAGGAAGTCCTTTTTCGTCTTGATGGACGGTGAACGCTGCAACTAAAGGAGCTTGAAAGAATTGAACGTCTTCCACCTTTGCTTCATGCTCTTCAGTTGATGAAGTAGGTGGTTGAATGGTGGTTGTCGTGGAGGTGGTTGTTGTAGATCTTGTTGTGTAGGCTCTAAATGTGTCCTTTTTGGGTATCTTCTCACTGGACACTATTAAATTGTTGTTGCCCCTGTTGATTGCACTTCTAGTGTGTTGTTCGCTTATTTTATTATCAATTCCCGAAAAGACGATGTTTTGACTGGCACTTGTTAGTAAATTAGATTCGGTTTCACCCTCTTTAGCCAATTTCAGCTTTGAAGAAAGATGTAGTGAAATGTTATCGTTTTGGGGTGCTTTCGTGACATATCGTACATATGAAGGACTTGGGGTTGCTGTAATAGATCTGCTGTTTCCAAACGAATCGGTGATGACAGAGACGATGGATGCCTTGGCTTTTTGTAAGGTTTTCTCTTCATAATTATCATTTGACGCATCCTTCTTATCTTCGTTTTCTAACTCTTGTAAAGCTTTCAACAACGCCCGGCGAAGATTTGCGTCAGATTTAGTATTTAACGATTTGGATATAATGTCATTAGAAACTTGCTCACATTTTGAGACGGATTGAAGAATGACTAGAAGCAGGAAAACGTGAACCTGCAATAAAATGTACAATTGACTAAAAAATTGAAAATACTACAAATGGCGCAGTAAACGCCATCTGTAACACGATGCTACATTTTAGGATTACGTGTACTCCAACAAGGTCTACTTGTGTGGACATCTACTTGTTGAAAACGAATCCCGGCGTAGCCAACCTCAACGTGATAGGCACGTTAGCTTAATCGAATAAAATAATTCGAAGTGGTCTGTATTCTGTCGAAACTGCCAGACGCGGATCGCGATTTCGATCTTTTTAGATCTCATCAGCGCGTCGCAGGCAGTTCCGACAGAACACAGACCAACTTTTACCTGTTGTCTTAACAGCGCGTTTTAGAAAATACTACACGATGTGTTACAGATGGCGTTTACTGCGCCATTTGTAGTATTTTCTAAAACGCGCTGTTAAGACAACAGGTAAAAGTTGGTCTGTGTTCTGTCGGAACTGCCTACGACGCGCTGATGAGATCCAAAAAGATCGAAATCGCGATCCGCGTCTGGCAGTTTCGACAGAATACAGACCACTTCGACTTATTTTATTTGACTAAAAAATGGTTTAAAGGCCGTAGCGTTAAACGATTTCCATTAACACAAATAGCTTTGCATTAAGGAAAATTAACATTTTATGTCAGAAGAAGAAAAAGACATTTTCACACATGTTGAGGTCTGTTCCTACATATACAAATGACAACAATACCTATGCGTAAGATAATCGACCACCTGCAACAAGAATTTCAATGAAGTGCAACTTGTTTTAAGGAAAAATTTCACTGCCGTAAGGTAAAAGCGAAGTATCGGTTTTAAGTTTTCACTTTCCATTGATGGATTCAATTCTGCTGAATCGAGAAATTTCTAAAACCGGAACAGCTTTAGCAGACCTGCTTACAATTAATATTTGGCAACCTGTGCGATCCAGAATGTACAGAAGCACAAAGAGAATACATACTTTTATATGTATATAGGGTACCTACATAAATTCCAGATATTAAATCGGTATATGTAAATATATAAATGCTCCTTTTGACAGATTTGATACAATATTTCGGCTTTCGGTAAAAGTGCGTTGAAAAATAGAAATTGGGAAATGAAGCTTTCAATTAATTTTTAACTGATAACACAGGTCTGCGAAATTCTGTTTTTGAAAAGTTTTTTTCTTAAATTGTTAATATTTGTCGTAATTGTCTTAAAAGTAATAGAAAACGATATGCCTATGGTTTATACCACGTCACATTAACCCATAAATGCTCAGAGAACACATTTCCATTTGAACCCTTGCCACGTAATGAGTGCGACGAAAAAATATTCGATAACCAGTGTTTCTATGTTTTTAACGATGCTCTTTTCGATGGTGTTGGTTAAAAATACCTCCGACAATATTAAAGCATGGAAAAATCGAAAATAAACAAAAAAAACGTGATTTTTGAATTGACTTTTTTCTTAAAAAGTAATTTTTTGTGTCCTTACGATTTTTTTATATGCTTAAAACCTATATAAATCATGACCTCGATATCTAAACATGGAATAATCAGCGTTGGTCAAGTCGAAATGCCTTTACAAACTGTTTGATCAAACCAAGTTTAATGTAAAGTGGTGGAAGCAATACTTTCTTCTTTCAAACTCGTATTGATGACATTTTTCACTCCGAATATAAAGCAATTTTTGTATTATGACCAATGAAAATCCCCTTTGTTTGTAAACAAATTTATATACCGAAAATATTATATTTTTACAATTTTGAAGCGAATAACTCCCAAAACTTATAACCAAAAATCTCCTCATTATAATAAATGGTATACGCACTTTTAATTAATTATTATTTATAAATGATAACCTTGAACATGTAAGCTTTCTATTTATCGATATACCTATTTAATTTATTATAGTGCCAACTCTACTCCACCCTCTCCTGCTTGCAGATAATGAAATTGAAACAAAGGAATGATGATTTTAACAGCGCGGTATTTTTTTTTAGATGGATGACAATTAATAACAAAGTTAATTACAGATTTATACGTTGTTATTATGACCTTCATGACCGATGGATGTTAAGAATGAATAATATGGAGAGAGAAATTGCACTAGGCACTTGCCAAACAGGCCAAAACTTTCTCCATAACGTCTGTCTTCATCATACATAAAAAAATCACATCAGCAGTAGGTATTTTGTTTCGTAATAAAAATGCTAACCGTCTTCTGCAAATGAAGTACCTTCATTACACCTTAACCCATTTTACAACAGTAACAACAAATAACAACAATCCAAGAATCATAAATATTATAATAGTAGAAATATGACATAAAATCTTGTAAGGCAGGACATTACACGCCCCACGCAGTACTATATTGTTGTTTCTATTGTTAAAAGCTGGGACAAGTTTAGAATAAATTATTAAACGGTTAATTATGATTATAAATTTGTATTTTACTACATACACGACCTTTTCAATGTAGCTGTAATCACAATTTTCTTCAGACATTAAAAGAAATACTCAAAAGCAGTAATATCATCATTATCCTTAAGGATAAACTTGTTATAAAACAGGATGTTGTTATATTATTATAAATCCATAAAGACACACATAGACTAGACGGCTGATGAGGCATAAAAGTATATCTCACTTCATTATCGCTAATTTCTTTGTGGAGGTTCTAATGGGGAATCCACGGGGAAATCCCTCTAGCGGCATGTCTCTCATCTGCCGCATGAAGTCCACAAGCAACACGAGACATTCCCCTTATAAAGTCTAGTCGGAATTGACTTAGCTTACGAGTATTATTTGCTTATTCCAGATTAAACCTTAATAAAGACATCGTCCTTCAAATAACACATCTTTTTTAAAATGCCATTGAAATAAAGTAATTGTTATGGCAGTGTTGACATTTACTTGCATACAGCCACTTTTTAGTACCAATTATTCTTTTATTGCATGTATGAAGAAATGAAAATATTCACGCAAGGGTCATAAAAATAATAAAATTTGGTTCCGCATTTGGTTTACAACGAAACGTGTGTGACTTTTAATAAAATGTACTTTTATGTACAAACATAAAGATAATTACAAGCTTGACGATAACAACGTGCAAATTAAAAATGGTAATTGTAAAATTTAAGACCACACGTCGTATTGCAAATAGACCTTAAACAGCTAAGCACATACATATCTATATGGTTAACACTGCAATCCATGTGAAAGAGATGGGACTAAGTTTTTATTAATGTTCAAAATAGTCTTGTTTTACTCTAAAAGAAATCAAAAATGTTAAAGTTTGACATTTATATCTGGCCTTTTTTTCTGACTATTCATTATAACAAATCGATAGATGTCAACCTGAGCTACACAATCTCTAATTTAAAATTCATAGTCGGATAATAATATATCAAGGCATATTTTCTACAATTTTGAACTTTAACTAACTAACTATGTAGAAGGGTGGAGGATTCCTCGTTTTTGCTAAAACGAATGACCGAACTAACTTTAACTACGAGGGTGGATTGATAAGTTTCCGGCCTAACCAAGAGATGACGCCACTAGGCCTACCTTGAGGTGACATTCTATAGTACCATCCTTGGATAGCTTGTAGCTATAGTTTCAGCCCGATCTCCTTGCTAGTGTAGGTTTGACAGCACGCTGAACAAGACGCCTCTGTGGTTTTCGTAAAAATGGAAAAGCAGGAAAATCGTGCTGTCATCAAATACTTTTATTTGAAGGGGTTAACGCCGAAGGAAATTAAAAAAGAGATGGACTCAACACTGGGGACATCCTCCCCGTCATATTCAACCGTTAAGCAGTGGGTTTCCGAGTTTAAAAAGGGTCGTGTGAGCACCTCTGATGGGCCTCGCTCAGGACGCCCCGTTGAGGTCACAACTCCAGATATGATCGAAAAAATTCATCAAATAGTGCTGGGAGACCGCAGATTGAAAGTGCGTGAGATAGCTGAGACCTGTAAGATGTCATATGAACGTGTGCAACATATTTTGCACCAACATTTGCATATGGAAAAGCTCTGTGCAAGATGGGTGCCGCGTTTGCTAACAGTCGACCAAAAATTGATTCGAAAAAACATTTCTACCGCAAATTTGTCATTGTATAAGCGTAATCCAAGCGAATTTTTGCGTCGATTCGTAACCGTTGACGAAACGTGGGTCCACCACTACACTCCTGAAACCAAAGAACAGTCTAAACAGTGGATTGGACCAGGGGAACCAACTCCAAAGAAGGCAAAAACAATTTTTTCGGCGAACAAGGTTATGGCTACTGTTTTTTGGGATGCAAGAGGTATTATATACATTGATTACCTTGCAAAGGGTAATACTATCACTGGTCAATACTACGCAGACTTATTGCAACGTTTGAGCCACGAGGTGAAAATTAAACGACCTCATCTGGCGAAGAAAAAAATCTTGTTTCATCACGATAACGCACCAGCGCACACGTCAATCGTTGCGACGGCTAAAATCAACGATCTAAAGTTTGAATTGATGCCGCACCCTCCTTACTCTCCAGACCTAGCCCCGAGTGACTATTTTCTGTTCCCTAATCTCAAAAAATGGCTCGGCGGTAAGAGATTTGCGGACAATGAAGAAGTAATCGAAGCTGTAAATGGTTATTTTGAGGAGCTTGACGAATCAGTCTATAGAGATGGCATTAATAGACTGGAACACCGCTATGAGAAATGTATCAGCCTTGGAGGAGATTATGTTGAGAAATAAAAAAAAAAATTTTTTAAAAACCTTGTTTTTCTTGGTCAGGCCGGAAACTTATCAATCCACCCTCGTATATCCAATTAAACAATTATTATATTAATGTGACGCATTCAGACGCTTTCTCTTTTGTAGTATGTTTATTTTATTGCGTAACGAAATGTTTTACGGTATTTTTTAATGTTATAAATCAACCATTTCACATAAAACGTAGATTTCCACATTTTACGAATACCATCACTGGAACAGTATTTTTGCGCGCTTCTTGTTGCAATTTATATTTAGTGACATAAAGTGTAATTAACAGCACGAGTAAATAATGAGCTCCTTTGGAATATTTTTATGATAACCATCATGTTGGGAATTTTGATCTAACTAAAGCAAATTAATTCCTTCGAGAAATGTTACGTTTTCAAATGTTTTTGACAGTTGCGTAATTTCTATGTTTGGTGAACGTTTTGTCTTTTCAGAAAAAGTGAAATCGAAAGCTTTAAATTGCATTTATTGGGCTTATATCACTTGATAACTTTACGTGAAAAGATGACTGAAGGAATTTGTACGAGTTTTCTTATACCACGATGTATTTTTCAAGAGACGACGCCGTCCTTTCGTAATTGCATGTAATAGAATAGGCGCGTACCTAGGGGCGTTATTGGTTTTGACACCCCCCTCCCCCCCAAATAAATAGAATACCCTAAACAAGAAGCGATAAGACCATAATGGAAACAAGTGGTACTGAAGGATCTATATTGTATTTAAAGATAAAAAAGTTACTATAATAAGTAGAAAAGTTATTTTTAGAAATATGTAGGGGGTAGTGGCAGCAAGTAATGGTAATTTCGTAAGAAATATGGTTTATGATCAGGGTTTTTGGACGATCAGAAATAAAGGAGAGATATTTTGACTAGATTGTGAATGAAAAAAAAAATGGTTCTAACTGAAAACAAACACACTGATGTGAGCTAGCAATTGTATACTCAATATGTACACACATTTTATGAAGAATAAATTCAGGTCCAGTTTATAAAAAAAAAGTACAAACAATTGAATTTAGGCATTTAATAGTGTGGAGACTTCTAAAACAATAATACATTTATGATCACGTAAAAAGAAGTAAATCAAAACGAAACATTTACATTGTACTTACGTATTTGTGCAGTTAATATCTCATATTTCAGTAATAAAAAAAGAAAACGAATACTAGAAGTTGGAAGAGCTTTAAATACTTGTATATAATTGGTGAGAACGTAAAAGTGTGTGAAAGTTTAAAAAGAATCGAATTGTACAATAAATAAATTGGAAACTTCCTTACAATTAGAAAATCGAATCTACAACTAGTAGTCGTATCGATTTGATGGACGGCCTTGATAATAAATGATTTTAATTTTTATTCCATGAGTTTATGTTTTAAAAGTTGTCACAAAATTTAAAAATTGATAACTCATTCTAATATATACGTACAAGAACGTATAGGAATTACGAAAAGTGATTTGTATCCAATCTACACTTCGGTTAGTAGGTCAATTAGCAATTACAAATCAATAGAAGCGAATCAGAAGTGAGTTAGGATGGTGAGGCGGGTCTTCACTTACACTTACCCTGATGGTTTAGAGAACTACCCGAATATTAGTTAATTTTCAATACTGCAAGGTAGGGAAAATTCAATTGGTTAAAGAAGGTTTCAAATAGCAAAAAGAAATGACTAGATTTGTTTGCTTTAATGGTACCTACCACAATATGTAAAAATTAACAATCCTATTGAAATAAAAATAAATAAATAATTAGTAGGAAGGTATACATATTATATATGTGTTAAATATTTTGTTAAAATTGCAGTAAGTTAGAGTAATTGTCCCCTAATGGCTTCGCCATATAACTCCCTGTTCGTAAGAAAGGGCTGTAAGGAAACTCAGCTTTCGACCTTATCTCTCACCCTGTAAAGCACGGTAAAGCTTCGTTTTATCCACCTACCCTTCTTTCTTAAACAAATACCTAATACCAAATGAAACTATTTATTTATTTTGTTCTCGAGGAACTGATTATGTCGCGTCCGACATGATGACAGAAAAACCTGATTCGAAAAGGCTAATTAAAATCAGAATGCCAATGTCTGACCCACCTAGCTGAATCTTCTATCTGTGCAACATCTACAACTTCATTTACTGTAAATAATATTATACACGACTCGAGAAAGTGGGTGTTCACAGGTCACGATAATCTCCATTTTACAAATGTGTTATAATGGGTTACGAATTTTTCTTAACGTTTGATATTTTAAATAAAGGTTGTTCGTCCCGCCGTTGTTTGTCTTAGAGAAAACGCGTTGTTACTTAGATTTTTTAAACGATAACCTTTCAGTTTGATTTAGGGCTATGTTGGCTTGTCAATAGATTAACAGAAAAATTTTAAATCTACATATTATTGACATGTGCGTATCAATGTATTATGTGTTAAACTGAAAGATTTTTCCCTCGAAGAAAGTTGTCTTAAAATGGAATTACACATAATTTCGTTATTTACTGTCTACAAACATAATGAGCTTAACCGTAAGTGAGTGCTATTTTGTGTGCTTGAGTGTAAGTCTGGCACATTTTTTCATATAAGTACAATAAGTGAAACTGTTTGTCCATCAAATATCTTGCCATTTGACTTCACTAATTATGCACTGCAATTATATTCTGTGCTAGATGATATGATATATACTATGCGTGGTATACTATTGGTGGTGGCGGTATAATAAAGAAATTAAATAATAATATAGAATTTTGATAAAAAAATCA